GTGGGGGGTTTTTTTTGATTCTTTTAGTGGACCTTTCGTTCCCCACCCGGAGGGTTTGTATCAAAAAAGTTTAAAAGTTGTAAACACCCCCCCCCTGGCCCGCACCCCCCCCCCCCCCCATGGGGTTTACTTTGATAGGTGCATTACATTGTAGGCTAAAAACATTACATATCAAAAGCTAGTCTGAAAAGACGTGTTTCAAGTAAAGATTTAAAACGTTCAAAATTGGGCTCAAGACGGATGCGAAGGGGCAGATTTTTCCATAAATTAGGGGCCGCAGATGAAAAAGCATGATACCCTAAAATCTTTTTCAGTTTTAAACTAGGATAGTTTAAGATAAGACCGTTTAGCTGGACGGAGATTATAGCACGTTTTCCGAGGAAGGCTGAAAGGAATGAAAAGCATGCGCGGCATCTACTTCCTGATCAGGAGGTAGCGCATTGCGCACGCTCGGATCGATGTCTACAGCATCAGTATCAGAACGAATTCTATCTTTCCTTCGAACGAAAAAACCGCCGATGTCATCGGCTAGTTTTGATTTGTCGTGATAATTAGGAAACGACAATTCCTCTTTCTTAGCAAGTATAGTTGCTTGGTAGCTCTGAATAGTCTTTTATGGTCAGTGCTATTCTCGTCAAAAAAGGTGTGTAAACCGCCTGCCTGGCCTGGTCTAAACCATAACTGTAAACAGGCTAATGCAGACACTTAACGTGAGGCACACTTTAATAGCGGAAAACCACAGAAAATTTGGTTATCTATGCATCCAAGAAATTTTTGTTGCGACAAAATCATCTGTCCATACGTCCATACGTCCCCGCATTCATGTAAGCCGGGGTAAAATTTCGCATTTCAAGCACGGTCCGCGCGTTTGGACGGTAAGTCGCATGGCCACCGGGACTTTTAGAGAGAAAAAAAAAACAACAGTGCCGAGTCTTTTTTTCGACTAAATTTAAATGTCTACGTTAGCGTGGATAACAGAGAAAGAGCTAAAGCGAGAGATAAACAACAAAGGAGACCATTTTGTCTTTTGCATGGAAAACGTGAAAATTTCACAGCGGAGGTGAAAAAACGAGAAATGCTAGCGGCCACCAGGGTATAAATGAGGGAAAGAAAATTATGAAAAAAGCGAACAGGAATTCAGACGACATTTTTCAACATGAAATGTTCATAAAAAGTGTATGTTGAAATGTTCAAAAAAGTGTGCTGCACGTGCAAAACTGTTTTTTGGTTCATTGGACCTACTGATTTTTTGCCGTTCTCGTAGTTGTCGCCGTTTAGCATTACACTTTTTAATTGTTTCAGTAAACTATAAGCATATTAACGAGAGCTTCGCTTTTAGCCCTGGTTAAATTTATATATTAATTTTCACTTGATCAGTCAACCATTGATTGATCGGCAGTGGCATACTATCACTTAGTGTCGTTGCTCCTGAGGAAATTTTTGGACGTGCAGAATGTACTAAAGCTTCTATAAAACGGGCCACAAAAAGCGCGTTTTACCAACCACATCAAACATGAACCTGTGTTGCAACACAGGTTTGATGTGGTTGGTAAAACTCGCAACATCGATCGCTATGTGTTTAACTCGTTTTGCAGCAATACCGCAAGACAATTGCCATGTTTTGTGTTGACCATTTTTCCGTACCTTAACTAGTAAGGACTAATTGAATTTTTCCCGTGGAGTACTCCCTTATATAAGCCATAGGGGAACTACCGCGTGGCACGAAAATTTCGGGGGGTTCCAATTTTTGCGATTTTTGCGATTTTTCCAGCGATCCGCCTGCAAATGAAAATTACCGCAAACATTTTTCCCGCAAAAATTTACTCCAGAGTAAATATTCTCTAACTTAAATTCGCTACACAAAAATACAGCACTAAGAAATCGTGTTTGTTCATCACAACTTGTCTCTTTCATTCAGAAAAAAACGGTATGCAACGAAATACTTGTTTATTGTTTGGAAATATTCATTTCTATTGCACGCACTCAATGAAAACAAAAATATCATCAATGCTGGGTACTGGGTACGTTCTGGAAAATCGCAAAAATTAATTCCCAGCAAGAAAACCCAACCTGTCCTCATCGCAAACATTAGTTCCCGCAAAACACAAAAAATCGCCAACATTTCTTATATGGTAGGCCTGAAACGAGTATGGATTTTAGAGGCCAGGGGCCTGTTTCTCGAAAGATCCGGCAACGTTTCGGGCCCAAAGGCAAATTTTCCAATCAAAACCTGTTGAAAAGTAGCATAGTTCCTAACTCACAAACCCGTCAATTTTGCTGCGTTACCTGGTAGTCTTGTTGTTTTATTTTCAGAATTATTGAAACTTTGAGCTTGAATGCCAAAACGGCAAACATAAAACACCTTTACGAGCCCGAAAAGTTACCGGGACTTTCGAGAAAATGTTGGTCTGAAATGGGGTCAGGATTTGGAGAACCGAGCGGCACGTCCCCACCAAGAATACTTTCCCCCCTCCCCCCACTATTCCCTGGGGTTTAATTGAATTTTTACAAAACCACAAATTTGAAGTACTTCTCTTCTGTGCCATGAAGGCGTGACAACGTGAACAAAAGACAACAAGTCATTTGTTATTCTAAAATACGCTTTGACATCACAGTTTGTTCTTTCCACAGGCTAATTTTTCTATACATTATTAGTCTGTCACTGAGATATAGGATAATGCCTGAGCTCCGAGACCTTCTCAATTTTTAAGAAGGCAGAGAAGCGAGCGTGAGGTTCCACGCCATTGACCTGCCCTTCCATTTATTGAAAATAACAACCTGTTCAAAACAATGGAAAGTTGCATAAAAGTGATTAAGAAGGCAGAGAAGCGAGCGTGAGGTTCCACGCCATTGACCTGCCCTTCCATTTATTGAAAGTAACAACCTGTTCAAAACATTGGAAAGGTGCATAAAAGTGATTAAGAAGGCAGAGGAGCGAGCATGAGGTTCCACGTCATTGACCTGCCCTTCCATTTATTGAAAATAACAACCTGTTCAAAACAATGGAAAGGTGCATAAAAGTGATTAAGACTGATATAGGAATTTAGGTATTTTTTTATCTACATTACACGGATGAGTAAACGTGAACGTGCAAAAATTACAATAATCTGGCGATATAAAAATCTAAACTAGTTGTTTATTCTAGATATTGTGACTGTGAAATGACTTGAAACGAGGGTACTTGGTACTTGACAATTACTGAACTTTATCGCCGAACAACGGAGGCGTCGAAAATGAGCAATAAAACCGAATCAATAGATCAAAAATCTCTAAAACGAATTTGTGTCTCGATTTGCATTCCGCTAGTTGTTTTCGCTTTTTGCGTCGTTGTTTGGAGGCCTATTCTGGTTCCTTACTCGTACAAATTTGTGAAGATAGTTGCTTTCCATATCATCAATGATAAACAGAGGAGTTTGGACAACGACCTGCTGCTTGCTCGCAAAGAATGGAAGTTCTATCAACTGGAAAGACGTTTTCGCCAACGGTGGTGTAAAGAGACAAACGTCAGGTCTCGAAAAAATGTAGCCTGGCTAACCGTTATGGTTAATGATGACTTTGTCGTTCCCGCTTTGGTTCTCGGTAATTCCATTCGAACATTTTCTTGTCACACGAATATGATTGCGCTAATTTCAAAAGATGTCAGTGAGAATACAAGAAAAGCGCTTCAGAGCGTCGGCTGGAAGACTCGTTTGGTCGAAGAAATGGATTGTGACTGGATGGATGCTAAGGTTGGTGGAGATCGAAATAGCGGACTTTTCGGAAGACCTCTAGGACACAGAATTAAGGGAACACACACAAGATTTCACGCGTGGAACTACACAGACTTTTCCAAAATGATTTATGTTGATGCTGATTACATGCTGATATCTAACATCGACGAACTCTTTGAGATTCCAGAACACTTTGCCGCCGCCCCTTGCTCCCGACCTGGTGTTTTGGATCCTTGTTTCAATGCAGGGCTTCTTGTGTTCAAGCCAGATTTGAAAACCTACCAAGAAATCATGAAACACTGGCGGGAGACAACAGAAAAAGACACCTGCCCAACGGACCAAGAACTGCTGAATGAGTTTTACGCAGACAGTGGCTGGAAAGAACTTCCGTATGCGTACAACATCAGGCGGATAATCTTTCGGCCCATGATGTCATTCCACTATGCCTGCTGCCGACCTCCAAAGCCATGGACGTCAGAATGTCGTCCAAGTAGAAAGGAGGCGAGTAAGTTTGACGGTCCCATCATAACTCTTGATGATATGACGTTGCTTTTCTGGAAAAACTTCTACGAACTTATTCAGCAGTACAACTTAGAAAACTGGTGGAACAACAACGTCCTTCACGCCAAACCGTCATCAACTTGCAGGAGGCTTGCTTAGTGAATAATTACATTTAGCCATCGTGAATATCCTTAAATACTATGTCAGATTTGTTTTACTTCACACTGCCAAGACGCCTTCAGAATTTCTTGATTATATTGTACCAGAGAGCTTGTTCTTTTTACCTGCTATCCAGGCTCTCTAAGATACAGTCCGGTCTACATCCTATAGTCTACACGGTACTTATGTTTTTTCCCTACCTTCTCTGAAAATTACTCGACTTGTGGTCTTCAATCCTTTTCGTACATGGCTTCAAAACTATGGAAATCTCTTCCGGATTGTTTTCGAATTTCTATCTTTTGGGATTTCAAGCGCAAGATTCTACAGTATATGACTCCTTTTAGTAGTTTAAAATTTTAGAATGTTGTTAATTTCACAATTTTTGCAGTATTTAGAACTATACTTGAACTCGAAGATACTAGTTCATCTTTAGCTACTCTAAATTCGAGGTCAAATAAAGTATATGTAAGTATGTATGTAGTTCTTAAACTTGCATAGAATAAATTTTGGACAGCGCTCAACTCTGAGAGGAGCATGTATGTATGTAAACTGGTTCAATAAACTGGTTCAAGACTTCAGAGGTAGTGCATGGTTTTATCACTACAGCTCTGTTTCGTGTGTCAAAAGATGACCACACTCATCGGGTAATATCAATGACTGACCGTTAGATTACAACAACTGGCAAAAAAAGCGGAAATACGATTGCTCTGAGATATATAAAAACAGCGTTATTTCATCATATAAATCATGTGATTGCTATTTGTAATTTGGGAGATTGTATAACTTTATCATAAAGTTCTTGAGGAGGTATCTAATTCTGTGGGGGCATGAACTTGCTGACTCATTCCGCTTGTTTAGATTGCAGAGATCCTTTTTACAGATGATTATGAAGTTTTCAAAAAGACATAAATTACATTTCTTAGTAAAGTTGTTGTAAGGTTTGCATTGTTTGATGGTATTCTACTTTAGGTTGAAAGGCTTTTTGTTGTCTTTGAGTGTCCATATGTGCTTTGGTAATTCAGTTTCGTGTCTCTTGTTTTCATGTCGGAAGGAAGATGTGTGGTTTCTGTAACGTTCTTTGAACTTTGCCTCTAAGAGTTGAGCGCTCCCTGAAATACATTCAAATCAAGCTCAAGAATATGTAAATACATACATCGTTGAAGTTCCCTGATGAGTATGGTCCTATAATTTCGGACCATACGAAACAGCACTGTCGCAATAAACGATGATTACTCCTGAAGCCTGAACTCCTGTGAAGTTATCTATGTTTGGTGTATGCATGTATGTATGTGTGTACATTTTGATATTTTCGTAGTAGATTCCGGTGTCAACCGTGAATGTTTCATCTCGTATGCGTAGTACAAGCATTCCATTAAGTTGTGAACATAACAGCGTAAACAGTGTTTAAACTCTACTTAACTGAGACTTTTATTATGGTTAATATTCCTCAGTGCAGCTACTGCTTGAGATGCGATGGAACGCTTCACAGCTTTTTGGAGAGCTAGCTGAAATACTGGCCCTCAAGTTCCCATCCGGAAACGTTTTTTTTTATTGGCATTGGTATTGGAACCGAGAGCTTGTCTATAAATTTGCTTAACTTCAGCGAAAAACACCTTACGAGTAGAGATTTCTCTGTTGCATGGCTCTTAGCATTTAAAAGTCGTTCGCGTCGCTTGTCAGTCGCGTAGTTGGCTCGTTTCATACACCCCGGGAGAAAACAAACCAAGTAGAACACGCGAATGACAAGCGACACGAACTTTGTAACTCTGCTCGCAAGTTAGCAACAAAACAAAACAAAAACAAAAACAAAAACAAGAGCGATAATCCTGTTAATCAATTAAGTTATGCAAAAATATTACCTCAAACATCGTAGCTTGCCATTCCCTGCAGTTATAAAAATGGTATATTCGATTGCTTCTGATACTAGTACCTGTTAAACTATTACCCGCCCCCTCGGAGAATTCGTAAGAAATATGAGAGGGATGACCGAAGGTTTAATGGATGACACACCTAGGCACAAAAATCTCATTGTCTCCTTGATTAATCGTTGCTAGTTCCTTTTACCTGATTGGTGTAAATAAAAAAGGTTCAAGTAGCCAAAACCAAAACGTCACGCAACCTTCACACTTTAATTATGTGCACTGGAACTAACTTTGAGTAACTGTTTTGCCAAATTTCAATATAAAAACGTGTGGTTTCGATCGAATTGACTAAGCGAAACGAATTTAGAAGTTCTAGTCGCAAGGACAGGATCTGTTCAGATAAGCTTTTAAATTGACAACTGTCGCTGTAGCATCGGGTGAGTGTCACTACCAGCTCTTATCTAAATTACTGCATGAAGGACAAGAACTCAGCGTTTTGTCATGCGACAATTTCGTCGCCGACTATTATGGGTTGCTGTGGTATTAGTTTTGGTATTTTGCCTTAAGAATTTCAGGCGTCTTTTCCCACCAAGCATCAAATGGATTGATTTAAGAAATCAAAAAGATAGTCTCTCCATCTTATCTCCGGTTGAGGAACCTCATCTATACCTCGAGCAACCCATGTTTTTGCTTGTTATCGTTTCTTCTTCACCTAACAAACGGGTAAACGCGGGAAGGAGAGATGTGATACGGAAGACTTGGGGCAATGTTGAGGAAACTCGTGTGCCAAACGATGTTATATGGAAAGTAGTGTTCGTAATGGGCAAACCACAGAACACTGAAATGAACCAGGTCATAATGGCAGAGCACAGAAGCCGAAGAGACTTACTTATCGGTGACTACAAAGACGAATATCGAAATATTGTCATCAAACTTCTGATGGCATTCCAGTGGGCATCGAAAATTAAGTGTTCCTATGTTCTCAAAACGGACGATGATGTTTACATCGAAATTCCTAAGCTAACTGAGTGGTTGATTAAACGAAGTGATGAACATTCTCTCTATGGTGGTATTCTCTATCAGGGAGACGTTGTCAGAGACAAGACTCATCGACATTATGTTAAAAAAGATGATCTCTCCCTGGAACATTACCCGGTGTTTTGCAAAGGCTCAATGTTTGTCCTATCATGGAATTTGATTCCCAAGATGGTGGGATTTTCAAGACATATTAAAAGAATTGGACCCGATGATGCTTACATAGGGCTTTTAGCCTTCCAGCTAGACATAAAACCAGTCGAAATACAAGGATTTCAACAATTTAGTCACATGCACAACCTTATCAATGTCGTAACTACGTGTCAAATCCAGGAATTGATAGGAATTGGTGATTCTCTCACCCCAGAACAAATAAACTATATCCATAAAGTTAAAAAATCCCTTCCAAAGAACGGAAAACTTCCTAGCGTTTGCATATCGCTATTCATGGAACTTGTACTTTTGTTGTCTTTATCCTGTACATTGCTAACGATATTTTTGACATTTTGCTGCCGACGGAGGTGTCGCTTGAGAATAAAAAGGTAACACAGGTCGTTTTGGACGTTCTTTAAACCTGAAAAAATGAATAAGAGTGAATGACAGTGCCAACAACTTTTTCTTCCAGTGAAAACTTCACACAAAATATGCATCAAAGATCGACGTAGCGTAGCGATCGCTAATCAAGTACATGTAGACTTCAGTTTTTATGAGCAGTCAGTTTCAGTATCTCAAAAGTGATTATTGAGATCGATAAGATCGTTCAGACCGCTCGACCTTTTTTGAGCAATTGCAGCAACAGAATCCAAGCTTAACTAAAAACATCTCTGATAAGCCGTGTTGTAGAGTGCTGTTTGTCATCGGGCGAAACGACCACAATTCGAATAAAAATATGAGACTCCATTCACAGTTTCTGAGTCACCACTTTCGATGGAGCTGGCAGATTTTGCTTAACAACATTTGAATTACGCAAATCAGTACTTGAGCACCCTGAAGCCCCGGGGGTGGGGGGGTTGGGGAGCTTTCAAGGAATGTTTGGGTAGAGGTGTGCCGCCGCGACCTTCAAACCATGACCCTGTTTTAACAGCAAATGTCGGAAAATATCGAGAGCCTCAAATCAGTTCAAAGGTAGTCTTTACACTTGGCCGTTAAGTAACATTTAAGAACTACTAAGTTTTACGTGTGTGAAGGCCTACATAAAATCTCAAGTATTTTACTTTGCATCTCATTAAAATCGGAAAGTTGAAACGATTCAAGAAAAGTTTCAAGTGACTTGAAAACCACCCTGAAAACCGACTTTGTGAACTTGCGGTTACCTTAGCTTTGAGAAAGACGAAGCATGTCAATCAATCTTAATTATGTTGCGTGAGGAAATAGTCGGTACGGAAGGCGCCTCAACGACAAAAATTCCACACTGATGACCTAAATCAATGTTTACGCAATTATTCTGGTATTCGTGGAGTTTCAAATGTAGATTTTTTCAAGTTTAGATTTTGACTTTTAACCTTTCTCAATGTTTGATTTTCAGCTGACGCTCGTTCGCAGAAAAAATTCAAAACTTTACAATAACAGATTATAAATGAGAAGAAGAGTATTTAACTCGAACAAATTTACATTTGCCCTGTATTTGGAACCCCGTGACTAACATATTAACTAGAAATACGTGTATCGCGAAGCTCGGGGGGGGGGGG